TTATTGTACGTTGGGAAAACTACAATATACTTCCAGGTCTCACCACCTTATGAACATATTATGATCACGGTGAACGGCGACGTGCCCTGGTGGGTTAGGTGAGCATATTTTTTGGTACTTCTTATGCGAATCTCGAGGCAGTGCTCGGGCCTGCCAGAAGATGGCCTCCTCCCAAGTATGTGAATAAGTGCATACAATTCGTAGACATGGGGAATCATAACAGGACCACCTACATATTCCTGAATCTATAATCCTATGCTTCAAAACGACCGTAGCTTGTGATCTGGTGATGAGTATATCTTTTTGCCCCCTTTTATCCGATTGCAGCTTGAAATTTAGGTACCAGCCAGTGAGCTACAAACTTATTTCACGGAGTGGTAACGAGGAACAATTCAAGGAAATGGTAAACAGATGCAACAAAGTTGGCGTAAGGTTGCTCTAACCCTAAGTAGATCACTTATTGAACATTGGAAAGGAATAGGTGACTAGATCCTCCATGTATATCAACACTACACTCATCTACATAGATAAGTGCTTTATTTCGCTCTAAAAATCACAGCAACGTTATTTAAGCTCTGAAAATTCAGCGCTACATTTTCATTTGCAGAATTGTCGTTGATGTTATCTTGAACCATATGACCTCAGTTTGGCATAAGTCTGGAGAACCTGGACTGAACACCACCGGTGGAAGCTTTTTTGATGGCACACCTTTTGCGGAAAAATATCCTGAAGTAGTAGTACAATCCTTTTGACCTCAATTTATGGTGGCAACTCAGATGCATCCGATCTCCTGTTACTCTTCAGGTACCTTACACTAGCGCAGACTTTAATGACTTCCGATGCAATCATAATATCACAGGCGACGACTACGTGAGCAATCCTGCTGGTGTACGTTAATCTTTCCCATCTTATGGCCATAGGGCGGAATTGACGCTTTACTAGAATATTGAATTAAGGTTAGAAACTGCCGTCTTGACGCTCTTGCTGATCTGAACCAGGGCTCGCCTGGAGTGAGAAAGAAATTGGTAGCGTTTCTGGACAGACTGATTGATTATGGAGTCGCAGGCTTTCGGTGAGTATTTAGTGTGAAGGCATTCGGGAGCAGGGTCAACCGTCACGTTCGAACATTTTCGGGATTTTTGCGACCCCCCTCTCGAGGGGGGGGTCCAGTTGCGACCCCCCAATACAACCAGCCTTCCCCCACCGCGACCTCTCCCTCTTCTATAGTATTTGATTCTGAGACCAGTTGACACAGCCCAAAACCTACCTAAAACTCCGAAACTCCGAAACTCCACCCACTTTTTCCCCAAAAATAGCCGTCGAGCGGGGGGGGTATATACAACCAGTGAAACGGCAACGCACATCACCCATGCCCATGCGCTCCCTGATGACCGAACGTAACGCAGCAAACCGCCAACCTCGACCCCTCTCCCTCCTAAAACACAAATACGACCCCCCGTTCGAACAGTTCGAACTGACGGTTGACCCTGCTTGGGAGTCCTGCCTTTCTGTCACAAACTCCGCCAATATACTTCCGCACAAGATTATAAGTTCAGGAACATAGGCTGTATACCGTAACCCTCTCGACGTTGCACTGGGGCGCGCAATGTCACGTGTCATCGATTTTCCATGTGTGCTCGGCACCCACTTATCGTTTTCTCTGCGTTCTCTCAACGAAGAGAATATGCGTCGAGCAACTCGCCAACTATACTAGCGCAGTCGATCAAGAACGCGAAGGACAGGACGGTCGGTGCGACGCTGCTCCATTTTTGGGACGCTGCACGGCGGTGTAGCGTCGTTGATGGTATTCGCTCGCAACCTAACAACGGGCATCCCCGATTAGCGCTAATGCGGGTTACGGTATACATCCTATGTTCCTAAACTTATAATCTTGTCACTTCCGCAGCAAAGGCATTGGAAGGCGCTCAGAAAAATGTCAAAAAAGTCAGAAAATAGTCAAGGTAGCTCGAAGGTTATATGTTAACCTAACATTAATCCGTCATAGGGTGGGTCGTGAATGGTAGCGATAATGGGACTTCGACCATCGGGGCTATTTATCTATGTTGGGTTATGGTTGGAATCACTACAGCCCCCTCAGAATCATTTGATTTCTTTTCTTTCCAAAATTCTGACCTTTCGATGCAGCTTCGCAGCGTCCTCAAAACTTCGTTGTTACCGATTATCGATTCGTTACCGTAAAACTATCTGCTAATTTCGGACGAATCAATAATTATGTTTTTCCCAAGTATCTTGTTCAGTTGGTATAATCTATGCAGGATTGCTTCGTAACTTGTAGGCAAAATAGCACGTTTTCATTTCGTTTATTTCAAAAGCGTTTTTCCTATCACTTCTCTGTTTTTCAGATTTGACGCTTCGAAGCACATGTGGCCAGAGGATTTGAGGGCAATTCTGACCGCCACGAAAAACTTGAGAGCAGACGTGAGTCCATAGCAGTGGAGATTAAGCAACTGGAGCAGCTTGGGAAGCAACCGGGCAAGGCTGCAGGAATCCAGTGGGAGTCCACTTGGCGCAAATTTATCCTCCTCTCCCCTTTCCTGTCCCCCTCCTGTCCCAGCGTAACCTTTGGTATCTGGAACTACCCAAGAGGATCAGGATTTCGAAATTTGTCCCTACGAGATGACCCTTCACCTTGCAAAATGTTCCTCCTATGCGATTTTATCTATACTCTCGATTTTTTACTGTCTTACCTCAACGTGAAGTGTATGAGAGAGTAAAACGACCCATACAATCTTATGAGTCATAGTTGTAGAGCAGTCCTAGACCGTTTCAGATATTTGGTCCAAATGAACGACCCTTTGTCGTTCATGAAGTTACCGACAGAGGAACCTTCGAGATCGTAACGATAGATCAATACGTCACACTTGGCAGGTAAACATTGCACTTATGCCCAGTAGCAAACTTTTTCTCTGGAAAACAGTCGGAAATGTTTAAAAAAGCTTAAAAGTGCTCCTTTATGATTTAGATATACAAATTTCAACTATGGCGCTGCAGTTTCTAATATCGCCAGAGGCAGAGGCGACTGGAGGTGGGTTTACTTAATAACTAAATATAAAATTCCAGTCAAATAAATTTAAGTTGTCAAGTTGTTGTTAAGACCATTCATATTTTTTAGTTGGCTCGCCAACATGGGCTCCGGTTACGGATACGGCAATTTCGAAGATCACGATGTATTGAATTTCATCAATAACCATGATAGCCAGAGAGATGATGACAGGTGGAGAGAAGCGGTATGTATTAGTCAAGTCTCCATTCACAAATTCAGATTTCAGCGATTCCAGCAGTTGACAATGGCGAAGAGGCGTACACACATTCAGCGTTCGAGTACAATGTAACATATCACGAAAGGATATCAAGCCCAGACATCCGTCCACCTGCTTAAAGGCACGAGTCGGGATTGAATTGATGCGTTATTTTGTTCAAACATTAGGCAAGGGGTGCAATGAGGAACATTAGTGAGGAGAAAAAGCAAAAAGCACCATAGAAAACACTAAATTTCCCTTAGGAGGCCGGCCGTAGTACGACGGAGAGACACAGCGCTGCGAGGAGAGGGAGAACGCGAGATAGTACGTCGTACGCGAGAGACGCAGAGACCACGTATGCCGTGGTGGATTACGCTGGCAGCGCGGGCAGCGGGGCAAGGCCTTAGCGCCATTGCCGCGCACTTTTGGGTCGCGATAGTGTCGCGCCCTCAGTGCTTGGGGAGCCCACTATCGCACCCTGGGAAGAACTTCTGCTGGTTGCCTAATCCTGACTCGTGGCTTTAAGTAATGCAGATGATCTTAATTGCTTCAAGAATAGATTGGTGTGGGTGCGCTCATTCCTAAGTCCGATGTTGGGACAGGGAACGTATCGAGGCCTCTTAACAGGATAGTCGTTAAATTTTCGATGTCGGCCTGGTTATCCCGTGGTGACAGTAAAAGGCAGGCTCCCTGACATCAACGAAATAGACATATGCTGAACATCGAAAAGTGGGTTTCAATTGAACCGAAATAAAAGCCTAATAATCGTTGAAAATGCCTAGTCTGCAATTTTTCAATAAAACCCTGCAAACCGCCAGGAAGCGTTGGCCCAGTTCCCATAAACTGCAGTTCGGCAACCTCATTTCACGACCTTACGACTTTTATCAAAACAGAGCTGAACTGTAAGCAGAACTCTTTACTTTAGGCTCAATTTGAGCCCGCAACTCGTGTCCGCCGGCAAAGTGTACGACCAGTCGCATACTTTCCGATAAACGATAGAGATGCGGGTTTGAATCGTGCCTTGGGCTAAGGATTTCGCCATAGCTTAGCATTCTTGCGATAACTATCGCACGGCGGTCAAGAACAGTAGTCAGCAATCAAAACGAATCAAAATCAAGACTTTGCGTCTTTTTTTCATGACGAGGTGAATAAACACTGCATGCAGCACTGCTTCAATTTCAGTTGCATTCCCGAGCTACAATTTTTCCTTGCCATTTTGGGTGCACCTTCCAAGTGAAATTGAGGCAAAATGAGCTTCATCTGGAAGCAAGGTCAAATATTGAGACTGTTGATTGTAGCGTAGCAGCTGATACGAAGTTATTTGAATGAGACCTCTGAGGAAGTCACTCATCAGAAAACCTTGCCAGTGAGAGTGCGAGACTCATGGTTCTAACAGGCTCACAGTTGAACCGCTTCATATAGTGAGAAATGCGCAGCATAGGAACTTCATTACCGGGTTCCGGTAGGAGTGCCGATTCAAAAAGTTGTAGCAACTTACCAGGAAAGGCATTCAACTTCCCATGGAACTTTGAGATGAGACCCAGATATATCGATAGAGCTTCAAACGCTGATTACAAATATGGAAACTAAAACTGCAAAATGAACCTGCCAAGGAAGTTGTGAGCAGTCAAAGTTGGCTGGAAGTAAAGCATTACACTAGCCTCCGGGCTTTCAAAGTCGCCGTGGAGTAGTGGTAGTGCTCTCGGAATTTGCGCTCCGACGGGAGGA